CTTTGTAGACACACAGTCTTATAGATGTGGCAAGGGAAACAATAAGCAGCAGTCCATTTTAAGGCAGTCTATAACTGTGACTACAAAAGAAAGCTTATGTAGCATGTAATGCTCTGCCTACCATGTGTGGCTACCATGGAGAACTTGACTCCAAGTTATCTGAATTGAGTTCAGCTGAATTATGTACCTGTTGAATCTTCCACTTGAGTAGTAATACTGTACTGAAGACCTTTTCCCATCACATTTTTAATTTTATTAGCATTTACTTAACAGGTAATGGGGGGAGGGGAGGGCAATGTGACACGATGTATTTCAAACCTTTAAAAAAGTCTTTTCCATCCAGCACACGTATTTAGTTTATACCTTACGTATTTCTTCTTACCCTGCAGCTTCCTAAGTTTGACGAAGAAAAGGATCAAATATACTATCCAAATCCACCAAAGATAGTGGCCCCTGACTCCACTTTTAAAGAGCTAGAACATAAACTCTGTCCAAGAACAACCAATATGCCACGAAACACTGAAAGGGCACTGGGGATCACAACATACAGTGGAGACTTCACAGGTATGCATTTTTTCTAAAAGTAATTTACTTGGGATAGCAATAAAAGACCACAAAGTCTTAGCCCCTAAATTTCTCAAAGAAATTATTTTTTTGTCATTTAGTAACAAAGGCCATACAAACTGTAAATTATCTAAGGTTTTTCAGGGGGACTGTGCATTAACTCTCATTTTCCTAACCAATAAAAATGTGTGACAGTAAAATACATCTCCATTAAGAAAGAGGTCTGATGAATCCTCCTATCCTGGATAACTACTACATGAAAGAAGTTGGCAGATTAACTGGAAAACTAGGCGAAGACGTAGAACTAGTACGTACTGCATTTACTAAGAATGTCGTGCTTCCACATAAGTAACACTGGCAAGAGTATTACCAGATTCAGCTAGCAGAACTGAGCCTTCCCTTCGATAATACTTAAGCACAGGCTTAAGGGCAAGGCTTGCTCTAAATAAAGGCAAAAGTTCAGTATATTAAATCAGTCCGGGTTGACAGAACTGCTGCAATGGATTAATGACTTGTTCAGGGTTTGCAAGGGGGGAAGTTACTGTGATTATCTGCTTAATTTTTATCTTATCATTTAAAGTTGCCACCAACACATGACAGCAATTCAAACGACCTTTTGCCTTGAGAATTATGAGTAACAGTCTCCATAAAACGAGTGGGCACTGCAGACTGAAACATACTGGCTAGATGTTCAGCTGGTGTTAATCAGGACAACTCCTCTGAACACAGCAATTTACTGTCTTTATTGCATATTGTGTGTTTGACAAGTGAGCTATTGCCATTGCAGACTATTGCCTCCTTACTAACTATACCAGTGTATACCAGTTTGGCAGAGTCTGTGATTCATCCTCCTCCATTTACGTGAGTGACTTGCCTTTCTTCCTTAAGGGTGAATCAGTAACATTACCAGATTCTATTTCAACGCTAAGATCTACTCTAAAGAATGTATAAAACTATATAGGAAAACTCCGCATTTATTGTCTTCAACAATTTTTATATTATGTGGCCTGTATAAAAATGAAAAGACACTATTTGTGTTAAATGCTACTCATGCAATCGAAGCATAACATGGTATATAAGCATAGCAAATCAAGTTGAGCTGCTTTTTGCTAATGTATCATTGCCTGTAATGGCTTAAGCCACTCAGTGACACCTGCACTTTGTCACACAAAGTACATACATGGGTATTTCATACATGATTGTAACTGACTAAGCAATTCTGCAGATAAAACAGAAGGAATGGATTCCTGCTCTGCTGGCTTTCCAGCGCTTGCGGGTTCAAGCTGCACAGACACACAAGAAGCAAGGCAACTAAGAAAGATGCTGTCATTTTCTTAGTTATAGTCCAAAAATGGTCCTGTATAAAAAGTCCCAAAATTGTCCTGCTTTTTTTAAAAAAACAAAACAAACAAACAAACAAAAAAACAACCACCCACACAAACAAGTAAGGAAAACCCTTTTGAAACAGCATTTACAAGCTTCTCATAATTGAATTCCTGTGTCTGAAATGGAAAAGCTGTCTAGCTTTTTCTGCAGTGTGATGAAGAAGCAAATGTTTCACTTTATGATGATGAACACGTTAAAGAACACTTTCAACAGCTTGTCTCTGGAAATGAAAATCCAAACTAGCAGCTTATATTAATCAAAACCGAGTAGTTTTATTGCCCTCTGGCTTCCAAAGAGTGATTGGCAGGGGCCTACCCTGGGCCACGCTGATTTATGCAAACAACATTTCTCCACTTAAAGCATACTTATGCTAAATATCAAACACTCAGATTATTCAGCACAGTAACTGCTGAAGCCCATTCTTTGGCTATAGGACACAAATGTACTATCCACTGAACAGCTCCTATAAAAAGCAGCTTTGACTCTGCAGCACCAGCATCTGAAGCCTCAACAGTACAAATGTTTAATACAGGGTAACAGTATTCAAGCAGTGGGTCAAACTGTAGTTAAGGAAGCTAAAAAGCCATATGCCAGTGAGCATTCTGAGTCCCATTTGCAACAGTTCCTAAAAGAAGTTAAAAACACACTAATGCAAGTCACTGTTCATACTATCATATTTCTTATGAGACCACAAACGGGAAGACAGATGCTTATAGAAGAAAGGAGAAGAGAGCACAAGACACCTACACCCATTTATATCTTATGCATTGAGGCGGTGCAGAATATTTTCCTTTTCCAAAGCCTAAAGACTGACCCTATGCTCCCTATGTGGCAGGGCAGTAACAAATGTCTGGGCTGCTTCCCTTTGCCTGGGAGAACTGTAACTAAGCCATTTCGCTGGTCTCAGGCAACGGTCTGTTAAAATTAGCAGTCCCTGCTAAAACAAGAGGCTTAGATAACAGTGTAAATCCTGTTACTTCCTCCATACAGAAAGAAACATTTCTGCCCAGTCTCTCACAAGTGAGACCTCTCGAAGAGCACACTGCATGTTTACTTCAGGGTCAACATCCCCATGAATCAATTCTGCAAGAACAGTATTCCTCCAGTGCTCACCTTTACTCAGGGTTCCTACTGTTGTAGCCAGCTACTCAGGCACAACGCTGAGTAAAATAAAAACAGTGGCCAGTCTGAGGTCAGCAGTGTAAAGTGACAGAAAGCACTGACCAGAAATGGGATGTGAGCCAAGAGCAGGCCACTCTGTCTCAGACATGCTACTAGAAAGTTCATTATCTGGATACAAGGCCGCCAATAAACAAACGTCAGAAAACTACTGACACATTGCAAACAGAAGCATTGTACAGGGGGCAGCCTTCAGGAAGGCCTGAACTTGAATCCCTTCCAAAATCTGCATGGTGCCTTATGAAGCCTTCAAGCCCAGACATTTGGATCAACATACAATATGGGAAAACCCAGTTAGACTAAGTAAGCCAGGCTTACTGCTGGATGTAAAGAGTGAGGAAAGTAACTCACACAAAGTTTACTCACAGTAAACTGGCCTGAAGAAGCAGGATATCAGCCTGCATGGAGACCAGAGGATGGGCCAAGAGGCAGAACTGCCTGAGATCCCTAGCTGCGAGGTTCCTCGGCACCAGAGAGCACTGCTGGAGCTGCAGCATTCCTTCGCTAAGACAACAGTACAAAAACGTTTTCATGATTCCATAAGAGAGACAAAAGACTTCAGAGATAACATTACTAAGGGAGAGACACAAATTCTATGGTTTCAACGATTTTTATTTTGGTCCTTCAAAGTTGAACAACAAATAAAAAGTACCTGAATACAAACTGTCTGTCCTTTCCTAGAAAACCACAATAAATTAAAACAGTGAAGAGAAGAGCAGCTAGGGTAGCCCAGGACATGTGCAGCCTATTTGAGGCTTGTCTTGGTCTAGAGCCTCTGAAAACATGTCTTTTCTTGAGAAACACATTAGTGGGATAAACACTGGTTACAAAAAGAGCTAGTTCGTTAAAGGCCAAACGGATTCAGAAATGAATATTACAGTCTGACTGGGAATAAATTTAGGCTGGGAATCACAAAATGATTTTTAATGGTCACAGCAGGGAGGTTCAGGAATAGCTCTTCAATAGATAGATGGGAGAGGACCAGAAAACAGGCTGCTTCAGAATGCATCTGACCAGTTATGAAAGGAGCTATGACATGGTTGCCAGCAACAGCTGGGGCTCATAGTGACTGACCCCATAAGGCCCTTTGCAGGCACTCACAAGCACCAAGCTTCCAGGTCAAAAGGACCCTCTTCTACCCTGCAGGGAGTCAAACGCCAATAATGTCAGCACTACTGCGCACACACAGGGACAAACGATGCTCATGAGCTGTGGAGTCTGTCTGTCACAGCACATTCCCAAAGCCTCCATGCTCTAAGGTTGACTGTGGCCTCTCCAAGCCTACATTCCTATGTCAGACCAATTGTGGCTTGTATTTCAGAGTCTTCTCTTTCCTTTTACACTCATCGTCTAAGACAGGAATGTTTAAGAGAACTGGAAAGGCCATAGAGACTGTATTTAAACTGCAGTGAAGACTGGTAGAGGGAGAATGGGATTTAGCAATCCCTGCAGGGTTTGAAGGAGCTTCAGAATGAAGCAGGCAAGCTACAGAAAGCATGTATGTTATTAAGAGCTAGCCCTTGATGGCTGCAAGTGGTCAATACAGTAGCTAAGGATTTATAGTGGGCACTGACTTGGTGGTTACAAAGCCAAGAGACAGGGACAGAACAGCTCTGCTGCCATGTCGTGCTTACTGAGCCATTTAGGATTCCTGAAAAGTGTAAACAAAAATCAAACAAAAAAAAAAAGGCCCAAATGAAATATATTTAAACATCTTAAACCATTTTTGTAAAGCCTTTTGAAAATAAGAAAGCAGCAAAGGAAACTTTAGTGGAAAGCTATCTTAGGGATTAGCAACTGGCTTTGCAAAAAAGAATGCAAAGAATAAGCTTAAATTGCTACTTTCTGTGCACTGACAGATTAATATTGCTGCTACCCAGAACTCAGGAACATAGCAAATATTGGTTCAAATAATACCTCAAGGAGCTGCAGCCAAGTGGGGATTAGAGAAGCAGAAACAGCACATGAGCATCCACTGTTTTTGGTTTTGTGGTTGGTTTTTTTAATTAATTAAATGAGGGGTTATTCAGTTGTTTCCCAGAGAGGACCTCAAGAGGGAGCAAAATGCCATTGTATTTTTCATTAAGAGCTTTTTTCATTGCAGTCTTCTAAGCTGTCCCATTAAGAGATCAGATATAGTCTCCTCTCCCTTCAAGCAAATCGTCAGAGTTCAGGAGACTGCCAGGATCATACACTGAGCACACAGCTCAAACAGAACCATGCTGCTAGCTAGTCATTATCCACTGCACTTTTCTTTACAGGAAGAGATAAAGAATCATGGCAGAAACGTAAATCCCTGATTACTTTATTCATGTGTGAGATCCTCAGGAGGCCAGTCAGGACACAGTGCCCCAGCAGTGCACTGTTTTCTGTGCAGGTATTCAGAGTACAAAGGGCTCAGTGGCAACCAAGAGGATATGAGGAAAACGATGTGACAGGAGTCAGAGAGCTTACTTTCCATACTCACTTTCCATACTCCTTTCTATCCCACCTTTACACATCTCAGAAACAATCAGACTTTTGGTTCTTAAAACAGAGATGATTAATGCATTTATTAGGACACAAGAAGAGTACAGGAGAGTATCCAGGGGATTTAGCACAAAAGTAACTGAGCAGCGTAATAACAGATGAAATTTAACCATGCAGTATGAAGAAACTCTGCAGTATTGCAAAGAAGTGTTGAAGACAACTCAGCCATAAATGGGTTTTTAAATAGTTGTTACTTCCTGGAGGAACAATTTCAAGATAAGTACAGACTCCTGCCTTTTGCTCTGCCTCTAGCACCGTTCAGGAGAGATTAACATTAAGCTGCAGAGAACACAGAATATTATGCTATTTCATAATCCTATCTCACATTTAGTTTTGTTCAGCACATTTCATAAGTAACAAAAAGCAAAAAGTCTGGAAAAGAGCAACAGCTAAAACCAGGGGATTAGTTATGCCCCAAGATAGGTATGTGAAAACTGAACTCGTCCTTTCTGTGAAAAAAAAAAAAACAACCAACAAAGCCAAACCAAACCACACCAAACTCCCACATGAACAAACAAACAAAACAAAACAAAAAACCCCCAAATCTCTAAGCTACAACTTAGCAGTGAGTACATAACACATTTACTATAGAAAAGTTTCATCAGTCATTTCTATCATGTAGCTGTAAGCACCTGAATGAAAAAGCTCTGGGACTTTTTCTTCGGACAAATTCAGCAGACAAAAGAAGAAACTTAGAAAGTACATTGTGATTTACTTGTTTAATTTTCTGCTTGGAATATGATGAAGGCAAAGAGCTCAATATAATTTCAAAAAAAAAAAGACATATCCTAGAAGCGTAACAAAAACATCTGCAATGCTAATAAGCATTCTCAGTGCTCTGAGACTTCACACTTTAGGATAATAAACTCATCCTGGGCAGTTTTTAGTGTTCTCAAAGCATCCAGCATTGATCATTGTGAGAAACATTGCTGAACCACTAATCTGCTCTGATACAACACTTGACACCTTCCTAAAGTCAAACAAGCAGACAATGAAGCTGGGATATTAAAACCCGATTCTAAAACTACCAGCCAGGCGATTACTTGGTTCAAAAGTCTTGCAAACTTGACACAACAGGCAGCAAAAGTAGCAGAAGATCTCTGCAGGGAGGAATCCCACCTCTCCACTGACAGAAACATCTCATGGGCGCTACCACCTGCAGCAGAGATTTCCTCCCGGTGAAGAAGGCAGCCTGTAGATCCAGTTTTCTCGTGACTTGGTCAGGCTTCACGTTCAACAGCAGCTCCTCCTGCTGCTACACACAGGGCCCTCGTAGCTCTGCAGAAAACCGGGCATAGGCTTAAAAGCATCAAGCCTGCCATAGCACACCAGTTCTATTGCTATGGGAGACCAGAGCTGAGTCTGCCAGTTTATGGCCTTCCTTCTACTTAAGTTATAAATGGTTTCTCCTTCGAAAATCCTAAGGTAAGCAAAGCTTTTTTTTTTTTTTTAAGACTCTCAACCAAATCGTGGGGCCATGCTAGTGCTCTTATCTCATGAAAGGTCCTCCTGTCCAGCCTATAGTTTAAATACAACAAGAACTGTGTAGGATTTAGTAGATCACATTAGATTAGCATATCATCATTACATAAGGAGACCCAGCCACACAAATCTCCTTACAAAAGGAGTCTTAATTTGGAGCTTTTCTCAGGGCTAAATTGATGCTTTGGAGACTAATTTGACAATATCTTCATTTAAGCTGCTGCCAAGCTTGGATTATTCAGAAGATAATGTCCCAGCTGATCATGTAAATGAGAGGACAGTAATCCCTGGCTCCCACAGATACATAAAGCAAACGTATTATCAATGCAGGCAAATTGTCATCCCCTCCAAACAGGATACAGCTGAAATTCTTCCAGCTGTTTGATGCATTAGAAACAAAAATCATTTCTAAAAAAATATGGTGGCTTTGACCAATTACTTGCCACCTAAAAACAGAAATTGAGGCCAGTAGAAATTACTGTCCTTGTAGCATGTTTTTTTATCAGATGGAATCAGACTCTCAGACAATGCTCAAAGACGTTTATTATACCTCTATTATTTTAAGCTTTCCAGTAAACTTTACAGCAGACTTTACAATAGCATGAGACTAGCTTTAAAGCTAAAACCATAACGGACTTAATAAAAGGATACCCTTTTATTTGTCTTTCAATTCCTGAGCTATTAAAGTTCTTTTCCAAGAGCAACAAAATTATGTTTTTAAGAAAAGCTGAACTTCTGACAAATTGCTAGGTCCTGAATCTTTCAAATGTGAATGTCATTGCGAGTTAATTAACTTTGGCCTTGAATCCAAAAACGTTCTTTTTCTAAATTACTATCTTGAATCACTTATCCTTTTAGCCTACTTTCCCTATGGGAACTGGTTTATAGGGATTCAGAATGAGTTTTCTAATAGTAAAACAGAAGCTGATGCAGTCCTATCCTAGGACAACTCTTGCATTTGGAAGTCCTTTCCTGCTGTTCCATGCTTCATTGCAAACTACCTGACTTATGTTTTGTACTCACTACTCCCCTACACTCACCCAAACAAAATGCCAGCGTGGAGTTACTTCCCTCAAACCACGAACTGATTACAGAGAAGTTGTATCCCATGCTTCTGTCTGTCCCATACCAAGGTCCAAGGCCTCATTATACTATTCTGTAAGTCTACAGATAACCAGACATCTATCGCTCTGCAGGCAGCTACTAGAACAAGGGCTTGAGCAGGGCAGTCCAGTATCTCAGCACAGACAAGACAGGCATTGAGCCAACATTCCCAGCTGGAGGTCTGTGTGCGCTTTAAGTTGACAAAGAGCGACTCTGATCCCTGGATCTTCTGAACCTACCCAGCTCCCCACCAGCTGGGAATGACAGAGACCTCTACCTGCACAGTCTTGCGGACACTTCATCATAAAATAAGCGGCTACCAAATAAATCTTCATGCCTGTGACGTAAATCCACAGCATCAAAGAACAGACAAAGTACTTTGGTATTTTCACACCTGTTAAACTCATCAGTAAATCTGTCACTCAGTAAGCCGTGGCATTATAACGGTGTGATTGATTCAGCTATGAAATATTCTGGCTATCCGCCAGCTGCCCACTCTGCTTCGCACTCTGGCTGCATTGCCTGGTGTC